GATGTGCAGGTTTGAAAGTGGCCTCTGGCAAGCAGTTTGGAAGGCAGAGGAGAGGCAAGACAAGTGCGGGGCTGAGAGAAAAGCGGTGATGGCACCCTAGATGGGGAGAGAAGAGCTTCAGGAGGCCTGGTGATGGTGCAGGAGAAGCAGGGGTCTAGGGGTCTCCCAGGTGCCAGCCTGGGGCCCCTGTGTGAAGAGCCGTACGTGCAGGAGTAGGAGCAGGGCTGGTGGGGGCCGAGGGAGAAGACGGTGAACCAACAAGGGGCTTGAGCATCTTACAGCAGAGTGAGGAGACCTGGTCTGAAGACAGCTGGACACCTGGGTCCAGACCAGCCCTGTCCAATAGGACTTTGCGACCATGGATGTGTCCTCCCAGCTGTACTGTCCAAGAGGTTGGCCATGTAAGACGTGCTTGAGTGACGGAGAACGGAAATTTTCACTTTGTTTAGTTGTTATTCATGTATCTGGCCCTAGGGGCCAGAGGCCACTGTTCTGGAGAGAGCAGGCCCAGAGCTTGGTGGTCAGGGACGCCTGCTGGGGACAAGGATTGAGGAGCCGTCTGCTGAAGCCATCGCACAGGAAAAGATGGGCAGAAAGCATTTGGAGTGAGAGGGGCTGAGAGCTGAGGACACAGTCTGGAAAACACCTGTCTCTAAAGGGGAGGTTGCGCAGGGTATACACGGGGAGACAGGGTGGGCCGGAGTGGGGGCGGAGAGGCGGGTGGTCATCACCGGCAGGCGCTCCCCAGCGCACGCCAGAGCTGTCTGGGCTGGATCAGGAGGCGGAGGGACTGTTGGATGCTGAGCTAAATTACACTCTTGACTTAGAAGCCACTAGATGTGGGAGAACGTTCTACCTTTTGCCAAGCTCCCCCCGCCCCGCTCCACCCCTGGAGATGGCTGTAAAACACGGCAGTGATTTTCAGGTCCCAGAAAATTGAAAACGGTTGTGCTGCTTGTAAAAGGGATGGTGCGGTGGCTGTGGAATTCCCAGCTACTTCCCACCCTCCGTCTTGGGGGCGGTCAGCCCTCCGAGGGTGTCGCCGCTGTGGGGCAGTGGGCCGGGGGCCAGGCCACCTGTAGCGTGGGCTCCGGCAAGGCACGAGCTGTCAGTGGCTCTTCTCTCTTGCACGGTTCTCAAAGCGGGGGCAAGCCTGCCGCCCGAGGAGGGTGGGCCGGAGTGGGGGCGGAGAGGCGGGTGGTCATCACCGGCAGGCGCTCCCCAGCGCACGCCAGAGCTGTCTGGGCTGGATCAGGAGGCGGCGGGACTGTTGGATGCTGAGCTAAATTACACTCTTGACTTAGAAGCCACTAGATGTGGGAGAACGTTCTACCTTTTGCCAAGCTCCCCCCGCCCCGCTCCACCCCTGGAGATGGCTGTAAAACACGGCAGTGATTTTCAGGTCCCAGAAAATTGAAAACGGTTGTGCTGCTTGTAAAAGGGATGGTGCGGTGGCTGTGGAATTCCCAGCTACTTCCCACCCTCCGTCTTGGGGGCGGTCAGCCCTCCGAGGGTGTCGCCGCTGTGGGGCAGTGGGCCGGGGGCCAGGCCACCTGTAGCGTGGGCTCCGGCAAGGCACGAGCTGTCAGTGGCTCTTCTCTCTTGCACGGTTCTCAAAGCGGGGGCAAGCCTGCCGCCCGAGGCCTCACAGCTGGGAGGTGATCTAAGGACAGGGCTCTAGTCAAGGAAATCTTTGTTTGCACTGGGGAGGCTGGGCTGGCCAGGTGCCCCCAAAGGCCCGCCGCCTGCTTCCCACGTGGTCCCTTTGTTTGCAGGGCCTGGGCAGAGATTTAGGCAGTGTCTGCTCTCAGCTCCAGGTGAGCCCTTTCTGGTCTAGGCACAGCGAGTTGCCCCAGGAGAGGATGGAGATGTTTCAGGATGGGGAGGAGGCCTGGCCCCTCTTTCCTTGGCTGTTTGGTCCCAAGTCAGCGCAAAGGAAGCCCTTGCTTGTTCATCAGCAAGTAGCCCTGGAAGACTCCATTGACATTTCTGGCCTGGGGCTTTGGAGGGAGCCAAATAAACCCCCAAACCCTCTTCCTCTAAGCCAGAGAACAGCTTCTTGGAAAAAGGAAAAGAGGGGGATTCGGTGAGGGAGCTGGGTGCCAGAATGCCTCCATCTTTTGGGAAAGGCTCAGCTCACCCCCAGTTGACCGGCGCACATGTACGTGTGTGCTCAGTTGATTCAGTTGCATCTGGCTCTTTTTTGCCTCATGGACCATAGCCCGCCAGGCTCTTCTGTCCATGGGATTCTCCAGGCAAGGATACTGAGTGGGTCAAAGCCAGTACTCTGGGACAACCCAGAGGGATGGGGTGGGGAAGGAGGTGGGTGGGGGATTCAGGAACGGGGGACATGTGTACACATGTGGCTGATTCATGTCAACATATGGCAAAAACCACCACAATATTGTAAAGTAATTAGCCTCCGATTAAATAAATAAATAAATTTTTTAAAAAAGGAAAACACACACACACACACACACACACAAAGAATACTGAGTGGGTTGCCAATGCCCTCCTCCAGGTTATCTTCCCAACCCAGGGATCGAACCTGTGTCTCCTGCAGTTCTTGCTTTGCAGGCAAATTCTTTACCTGACTGGAGTTCCTTTAATAAAGGATGCCTATCCCCCACTGCTGCTTCCTCTAGCGTGTTGGGAGGAAGCCAGAGAGGGCCCAGGACCAGCTGGGGCTGCCCCACTAAAGAAGGGAAAATTAAGCATGAATTGGGTTCCTGGGATTGGTGAGCAAACATCATTTATCAAGGGGAAGTCACTCTGCCTCCCCCCTGCCCATCACTGGAGGAGCCTGGTAAATGGAAATTGAGTATGATGAATGGCTTCTGGGGAAGGAAAGCAGAAGCCACGTGTTAGACAATCCTGATGGTCATCAGGGCCAGAGGGGACACCCCACCATGGGGCTTTCTCCTTTCTGGGCACCTCAGGATCTGAGTCCAGGGGACTTCTTGCAGCATCTGGAGAGCTCTGAGCATCTCAAGTGGAGAATTTCCGCCAGATGTCAAAGCAGAGAGGGGCAGCCCCAGGGCTTCCTTTCTGGTGGAGAGGAGACGGGGGTGGGGTGGGGCATGGTGGGGGGGGGCCAGGAGCAGATGTGCCGGTTGCTGGGCTGAGGGATGGTTGATGCTGCATTGAGACAGGCTCTGATTGGATGCTGAGCCAAGTCATCTTCTTACCTAGAAGATATTAGCTGTGGGAAGGCATCCTATCTTAGGCCCAGCTTTCTCGGGAGATGTGTGTGAAATTTGGGGGTTGATATCCAGGCCCTAGAAAAGCCAGATGAAGATATTTGTCTTGGGTGTGAATTGAGGTCTGGGACCTGGCCAGAGCTCCTGGAAAACGTCAGCTGGTACAGAGGAGCAGAGACCTTCAGGAGACATTAAAGAGGGTTGGTGACTGATTCGGTGTGGTGGACATATGAGAGGAAGGCATCTAAATGACTCCCAGATTTCTGGCCTGCCGTTTGCTCATTCTTCCTATTCCCCCACGCCCCCCACCAACTTCATGTTAATAGGACTGAGCTGCCCAGTGGAGCTTTCCGCGGTGATTGAAATGTTCTGTTCTGTGCCTTCCAGTATGGTAGCTCCCAGCTCCCCATAGCCACCGAGACCCTGAACGCAGCTAGCGTGACTGGGAACAGAATTTAGAATGATCTTTCATTTATTTTATCTTTCTGGCCATGCCATGCGGCATGCGGGGTCTTAGTTCCCCAAGCAGGTATCAAATCCCTGCCTCCTGCTATGCAAGTGTGGAGTCTTCACCACTGGACTGCCAGGGAAGTCCTTAGAATGTTCTTTAATTTTAATTGGTTTAAAATGAAATAGCCATAGTTGGTTAGTGGACACTGCTGTGCACAGCATGGGCCTAGAATGTCTCTCTCTCTCTCTCTTTTTTTTTGTAGATGAGTATCTTTTTTAATTTTTAGTTTGTTTCGTTTTGGTTGTGCTGGGTCTTCATTGCTGAGCAGGCTTTTCTCTAGCTGGGGAGAATGGCAGCTAGTCTCTAGTTGTGGTGCGTGGGCTTCTCATTGCCCGGCCCCTGTTGGTGGAGCGCCGGCTCTGGGGCCCGCGGGCTTCAGTAGCTGCGGCTCATGGCTCAGTAGCTGTGGCTCCCAGGCTCTAGAGCACATGGCTCAATAGTTGTGGTGCACGGGGTTCGTTGCCCTGCGGCTCGTGGGGTCTTCCTGGATCAGGGATTGAACCTGTGTCTCCTACATTGGCAGGTGGATTCTTTACCACTGAGCCACCCAGGAAGCCTCCAGAATGTCTCGTTTTGAGTCAACATCTGCTGTTCTGCCTTGAGCTGCGATTGGGCACGTATCTGTCTTCTTCACTGGCTGGTAATTGCCTTGAGGTTATGGGGTGTTTATAATGTGCAGTGGTATCCCTGCCCCCCAAGCTCTTGCCTGATGCTGTGCACATCACGGGCATCCAGGAAACCGTGGCTGTGTTCAGTTTTCTGCTGAGAGGCAATTCCTGAGCTACACAGGCCATTTGGACTTGTCTTCTAAATTCCTTCTAATCCAGGGAGATCCCGGGCTTCTCTCGCCTCTCAGAGCAGCTGGTTACCTGATGATGATCAGGGAAGAGGGAAAACCATGGTTATAAAATGCTTTTGTCAAAGGGCACTGAGCTGGGTGTGACCACAAGGAACGAGGCAAACATGTGGAGCCTGAGGGCTGGGAGTTCACTATCAGAACATTGGCTGACACCCTGAAAGTGGGCGGGCCCCCCAAAGTGATGGGACCGATTTTTAAACAGATATAAAGAAACTTAAACTTGTGTATGAAAATTCTCTCCTTAAAGGATTCCCCACACATCCATTCCGGGGCTCTGGAAGATAAAAATAATTAACCAGGAAGTGTTCTCACACTGCCTGCCTTCCTCCAGACCCTGCCATGGGCCCAATGCCTCCTCTCCCCCATCCCCCCCCCCCCCCCCCNCCCCCACCCACTGTTGGAAGAGGGGAGGAGGTTAAGCTGCAGGGGGATTGGGGAAGGTTGAGGGAGAGGAGAAGAGGAGCCGCGGGTCCTGAAGGGAGTGAGTGGTAGAAAAAGATGTTCACGGAATCGCCATGGAATCTGGCAACTGAGTGTCTTGCAGGGTTTGGGATGGGCAAGTCCAGAACTTGAGTCATGTTGGAAACGACCTCAGACGCCTTGACCGCAAGGCAGCCAGGAGACTGGACCGTGCAGGACCAGATTCAGAAGGCTTACACACCCTTGGCCGAGGTGTCCAGGGGGCTGCTTCCTGGACCTGCATAGCAGGTCCTTCATGTGCCTTGCTAAGCACAGCATGTTCTCCTGAGTCACCTTTCTGGGGTCCACACCCCCTCCATTGCAGGGGACTTTGTTTCACTGGAAATCACTAAAGTGGGCCAGAGCCAAGTTTCTTTGGAAGTTGGGCAACGCTGTTTTTTGCCCCAAAGTGAGTAAAATGATCATAGTCATGATGCTGACTTTGCTGTGGGACTTGGGGAATTTGTTCTGAAGATAGTTGTGAAGAGAGAAAGGTTTCAATCTGGGTTTGCCTTGGCTCCAAAGAGGAGGTCCTTGAGGAGAACCTCCAACCTCTGCTGCCCTCTGTCAGTCCGCCTGGCGCCTCCGACCCTGCCGGGCCATCGCGGCTCCACCCCCGCCGAGATCACCACCCCTTCCCCAGCTGCATCCTGGTCTCCATCTCTTCCGACCCAGGTACAGAAAAATTCCCTTTTTAGACTTCGAAAGAGACATACCAACGTGCAGAAGGGTGCTTCCATCGGGGGTGGAGGACTGATTCTCAACTGGGAGGATTCCTGCCTTCCGGGGGACACGTGGCAAAGTCTGGAGAAGGTTTTCGGCTGTCACAACTGGGGGTGGGGCTGCGCTGATGGCAGCGAGTAGGTGGAGTCTAGGGATGCTGCTAAGCATCCTGCAGTGCACACGACAGCCCCTCCCCCCCCCACGACAAAGGCTAATCCAGCCCCAAATGTCCGTGGTGCAGAGGCTGAGGGACCCTGGGGGCAAAGGAATCCGAGATAACGCTTTCCTTCCTTTTGCTGTTATTTTCCAACTTTCCCCAAATGAATTATATATTACTTTGAATTCAGGGGGGGAAAAGATGTTTAAAGAAAGGAAAACCTCTTTTCCTTTCAAGTGATGCAAGTTTGGCATTGAAGAGGAAAACAAGAGTAATTATCAAGGCGCCAAGGAAAAACAGAGGAAATACAGAAATAGGGCAATAAACAAATTTAGAGAATTCAATCTGACAAATATTTGTCAAGTAGAGGGTGCTGCAGGATGCTTGGCGGGTCCAAGATGAACAAGACCATGTCCCAGGCCCAGAGGAGGTCATGGGTCTGCAGTGCAGAAACTTCCCGGCCAAGAAAAACCCTTTGCAGAATGAGACAATATGAGAAACACAAACAACAAAGATCAGGGGGAGTTGGTTGCAGCTGAGGGTCTGGGGGGCTTTCCTGGTGGCACTAGTGGTAAAGAACCCACCTGCTAATGCAGGAGACATAAGAGACGTGGGTTCGATTCCTGGGTCGGGAAAATCCCCTGGAGGAGGGCATGGCAACCCACTTTAATATTCTTGCTTGGAGAATCCCCATGGACAGAGGAGCCTGGGGGGCTACAGTCCATGGGGTCGCACGGTCAGACACAACTGAAGTGACTTAGCACACAGTCGTGCACCAGGGTCTGGGAGACCTGCAGGAGAAATATGAAGCACCTGGTTGGGTCTTGGATAGGATTTTGATATGATCAGAAGGCAGCCTGTTGAATTCAAATCCAGCCCCCACAGCTTAAAAATTGGGCAGCCTTAGGCTAATCGACTTTTCGATGTCATTTTTTCCTCACTGCTGCTTAGTCACTCAGTTGTGTCCGAGTCTTGGCGACCCCATGGACTGTAGCCCGCCAGGCTCCTCTGTCCATGGGGATTCTCCAGGCTAGAATACTGGAGTGGGTTGCCATGCCCTTCTCCGGGGGATCTTCCCAACTCAGGGATCGAACCCAGGTCTCCCACATGACAGGCGAATTCTTTACCATTTGAGCCACCAGGGAAGCCCTTCTTCAGTGGTAAATTTGGTAAAATAATGAATGAATGTTGTCTCCTTAAAGGATTCACTGCAGGTCCATCTGAGGCCTTTGATGGGGTAAAACCTATTAATGAGGAAGTAATCTCAGAAGGAACCCTAACCTATAGGGTTGTACGGATGAAGCGAAATGCTGTAGCCATCCCCAGCACCGGGCCTGGGGCAGTTGTCGGTGGAGCACGGGCTCTAAGGCGTGTGGGCTTCAGTAGTTGCAGCGTACGGGATCAGTGTTGTGGCACATGGGCTTCATTGCCCTGCCGCGAGCGGAATCTTCCCGGACCAGGGATTGAACCTGTGTCCCCTGCATTGGCAGGTGGATTCTTCACCACTGGGGTGCCAGGAAAGTCCAGGAGAGATCCTCTTAATATGTGTTTTACGAATTACACTTGTAAGTACAAACTTTCTTTGTGAAGTGGAGGTGAGGTAGTGAACATTTTGAGTGGTGGGGCCTGGTTCCAACCAGTCTGTAGGTCATTGGGAAGGCCTCTGGGCTCTGACTCTTGGCAGGTAGAGAACGTGGAGGTGGTGGACCCAGCTCATCCGCCGCAGCGGATGGGGGGCATGCAGAGAATTAAAGAGGTGGTAGAAGTGTGGGTTGGGGGCTTGGGGTGGGGTTCCTGTGGAGGCCAGCCTTCCTGGCTCAATCTCATCGTATCTCTGAGGACCCATTGGGAGAGCCTCAGCTCCCTTGGCTCTGGGTCCTGGTCCTCTGCCTCCCCAGGTTTTCCTGACTTGGCGTGGGGCTCCAGCAGGGAGGGTGGCCAGAGCATTCTGTCCTCAGCACTAAAGCAGCGAGCCCGCTAACACACAGAAGAAAGAACAAAGCTGAGAGTCGGCACAACGAGAGGGTCGTGCCCTCCCAGGCTGCGAGGTCTCTGAACCAGGGGAGGTGAAGTACGTCCACGGAGGCCCAAGACGTGCGAAAGGAGCATTCACCTGGATAGACGATTACCAAGAAAAACAGAACTCGCTCTTAGTATTTTCGTTCCCCTTAGACATGAAAAGAGGAATTAAGAATCCGAAAATCAGACAGGCCCTTCTGAGGCTGTTTCCTTGCTCTGATGCTTTGCTCCTCACGAGGCCTGTTTCCCAGCCCCAGCCTGGCTGAGAAGGGGGGTGGGCGTTTTTACTCCCCAGCTTCAGCCCTTTCGCCGCGAAGTCCAGAGGGTCCACTTTAGTGTCTTTGTCAGCCCTTTCCATGTTAAATTGTATGCTTTGGTGAACAGAATGGGTTGGGATTGACCACTGTCTTCCCTTCCATGATGGGAGGTTTTCCAGTCGCCAGAAATAGCTGAGGCGCACGTGACTCCTGACTCCACACGGTGTAAACCCCACACGGCTGGCCCAGGGTGGCCAGGGTGATAACTCGGACTGAGAAACAGGTGGGATGTTGTGTCTGTTTTAAGCCCAAGCAGTGCCCCCTAGTGGGATCACTGGGAACCTCCCCAGTGGTCAGCTCTTTCTAGAAGGACTATCTCAATCCTGGACGAAGAGGGTCCTGTCCAGAGCTTTTTGGAGAGACATGGAGCTGGCTTCGATGACAACAAGTGCCCTCTGGGGCTGGGCAGACTCACCCCCCACCCCCACATCAGATGCTCAAGGACACTCACTGATGGGCCACCTGGTGTCCAGAGAGCAACTTGACACCTTCCTGCACACCGGCCCCCACGGTGCCGGCTGGGCCAGAGTCGCTGCACAGTGGACCCCCAAATTCATTCGGGATTTTGCTCATTGTCCTAACATGGCCAAGACACAATCATCTGCAGAGCTCAGGGTTGAGGGGTCTCCTTCCTGGGAGGCACGGGGGCCCTGGGCAGAGCCATGCTCAACAGCCACAGGCAGCCGGGTGCTCCAGGGTGGAATCTGCGAGGCTGTGCATATTAAGTTTGTGAGTGTGCTGAGAGTGTGCAGGTTGGGGGTGGGCATGCTGTGTGCCTGAGTGTGCACACATGTGAGTGCATGGGAGTATTCACGAGTGTGTCGAGTGTGCAAGTGTGAACACACGAGTATGGATTTGAGTGTGTTTCAAGTGTGCTGAGTGTCTTGGGTGTGCGTGGGGTGTAGTTGTGTATGAGTGTGTGTTGACTGTGTGAGAGAGGGTGTGAGCATGTGTGTATGTGCACGAACGTGCACTGGGGTTTGTGTGTACGTGTGGGAGTGTGTAGCGAGGTATGTGAATGTGTTGCGTGTGTGCGTGTGTGATCACCCTCCCTGGAGGAGCGGCAGCGAAGCACCTCCCGGCGTAGTGGCTGGGGCGAGCTCCGTGGGCTTGTTCTCCCCGTGGCTCTTCCAACCCACACCCTCCGTGTGTCTCCCCAGCAGGGCTCGGCGGGAAGATGGGCTCCCGCGGGCTGGGACTCACGCTGGCGTGCTGCCTGCTGCTGGCCTTCGCCTGCGGTCTGGTGCTGGGCCGAGTGCCCCGTGGGCAGCAGGAGCAGCAGGAGCAGGAGGGGACCAGGGAGCCGCCGATGGACCACGCTGAGAGGTGAGGCCGCGGGGCGTGGGTGCCAGAGCTCCGGCTCAGTGGTGGGGATAAGGGCCGAGTCCGGGCCTCCCCCGAGTGCTGGTTGACGGCCAGAGGAGAAGGGGCAGGGGCTGAAGCTCAGGAGCTGGGGGATGGAGGCAGCATTTCTCCTGTCAGTGACCCGGGCGTGTTATCTGCAACTGCGGATAGTAACCCAGCCTCATTCCAACCCCAGAGGAATGTGGGTCTGCCTGAGGTTCTGCAGTCACATCCTTAAAAAAAGAACATGCCAACCCCCCACCCCAGGCTTTGGTTTCTTTGCATTCTTGCCTGTCCTTTGAACGTATCTATTAGAGTTCTAAGCACCACCTGGAAATAGAAGGTAGGGACGCTGCCAGCCCGAGAGTGGTCTCCACCACCCTGCTGTCTGATCACATTGCCAGGTGGGGACAATGCGTGAAGACTGACACGGGAAGTGGTGGCTTTCCTTGAAAAGATTTATTTCTTCCTCATGGCATTGTCTTCATACACCTGATAGCTCAGTTGGTAAAGAATCCGCCTGCAAAGCGGGAGACCTGGGTTCGATCCCTGGGTTGGGAAGATCCCCTGGAGACGGAAAAGGCCACCCACTCCAGTATTCTGGCCTGGAGAATTCTGTGGACTGTATAGTCCATGGGGTCGCAAAGAGTTGGACACGACTGAGTGACTTTCACTTCACTTCACTTCATATACATATGCCTTCAGTGATACACAGACTCTAGGATCTTTGGGATATTTTGTAGTGATACATAAAACACTTAGGATTACTGATGGAAATGTCATTCATCAAACAAGAGGTCCTAGACACCCAGTGCTGGCTTTGAGTTTCATCAGCACTTTTCGCTAGTCAGCTTTGGGCTGACTTGGAATATATTGGACTTGCATAGATTTGGGGCAAAGGAACATCATTCTTGGGCCTTTCTGCTGGCTCAGACTATAAAGACTCTGCCTGCAATGCAGGAGACCCAGGTTCCATCCGTGGGTTGGGAAGATCCCCTAAAGAAGGGAATGGCCCCCCACTCCAGTATTCTTGTTGTAGAATTCCACGGACAGAGGCAGACCACAGTCCATGGGGTTGCAGAGTTGGACATGATTGAGTGACTCACCCTTTCACACACACAACAGCATTCTTGACCTTTGTCTTTTCTTCTCCTCCCCTTCCTCTTCCTCCTTCTTTTCATTCAATAAACATTAATCAAGTGCTGCTACTGATCTGGCCATCCGCTAGGCACTGGGGACACACATGAATGACACAGTCTCTGGGCTCCAGGAGCTCCAAGGCTGTGGGGGCACAGACACAGATGACCCACTTCAGTGAGGTTGGCTCTGCAGTACACGTGTGTCCACAAGATGGATGTGGTGGGTGGGGGTGGGTGGGTCGGGGAAAGTTAGGTGGAGAAGTGACTGGGTCTTGAAGGTCACTGGGGGAGCATCCCAGGCACAGAAGAAGGGGAAGCTGCCTGACAGCCAGGACAATACGTGTGAAGGGTAACCTTTCCAGTGTCTGATTGTGTAAGGCTGGCGGGTCCTTTGAGTAGTGGGAGCCAGTGTTGGAGGGTGGAGGATGGGAGGATGGGATGAGCCTGGTGGGGAAGGATCTCTCTGGAGCTTCATCTATAGGGGAGTTGTGGAGAGATTTGCATTTCATGGTGTCCTAGAGAGAATTCTGGAGGGTGGCAGAGCAGGGGATGAACTGGCAAGGGAGAGATGAATTCCAGGGGAGCATTGAAAATGCCAGTGGTCCCAGAAGTGGGGAGAGCCAAGGGCCCAGCTCCTGGAGGTACTTTGATGGTGGACTGGGCTGGCCCCTCAGGACAGCATGATTCTCAGAATGGAGCGGCAAGGGCAGAGAAGCATCTGTAATGAGTCTCAGGGTCCCCTTCTGGATGAGTGATCATGCTGCTGCCACTGCTGGAGACAGGGTTTGGAAAGAGAAGACTCCAGGGCTGAGCAGCAGCGAAGGGCCATCAATTTGGGACACTTCTCATGTATGCGACTCATGGAAATTTTGTGGAGACTTCTGCTGGGAGGTGGGGGCAGTGTTTCCTCTGAGAGTCTAGGACTTGTTGTTTAGTTGCTAAGTTGTGTCCGACTCTTTTGCGTCCCCACAGGGACTGAAGCCCGCCAGGCTCCTCTGTCCATGGGATTTCCCAGCAAGAATACCGTTTTTCGGTATTGAATACATAGGAGTGGGTTGCTATTTCGTACTCCAGGGCTGTTCCTCACTCAGAGACCAAACCTGAGTCTCCTGCATTGGCGGGTGGATTCTTTACCACTGAGCCACGAGGGAAGCCCCTAGAGCTTGTAGGTGGCTGAATTTAGGGCATGGAGATCCTTTTCCTGGATTGTCTGTGGTGTGAAAATAGGAGCAGAGTAAAACAAGGGGCTGACCGCTTGATGAGAGGACTGTGCCACCTCCAAGACGGTGCTGTCAAAAGCAAACAGCCGCAGAGAGCACAGTGCAGTGCAGCGTGACGCCGGGAGGTGGCGGCATGGAGCAGTTGCTCCCCGCCTCCCCAGCTCTCCCCGGGGTCCTCAGGAGCCCGTTTCAAGTCAGGTTGTGAACAGGACAGTAGAGTCTCCAGCTGCTGCAGCTCCCGGGAATCCCACATGTCTGGCTGAGCCCTCTCATTTGCAAATGAGTCAGCTTAACATAGTGTCTTCTAGAATCCTGGAGGTCAGAGTTCCAAATTAAGTGAAGTGAAATGAAGTGAAAGTCGCTCAGCTGTGTCCGACTCTTTGTGACCCCATGGACTATACAGTCCATGGAATTCTCCAGGCCAGAATACTGGAGTGGGTAGCCTTTCCCTTCTCCAGGGGATCTTCCCAACTCAGGGATCGAACCCAGGTCTCCCGCATTGCAGGTGGATTCTGTACAGTCTGAGCTACCAGGGAAGCCCTAGATACATGAAGGCGACGTTCATTCAAGGGCTGTCATCCAGAGACCCCTCCTAGAAGTGCCGGATTTCTCCCATGCAGCCTCCATCTTGCCAGGCCCTCAACTTATTGCTGTTTTTGTCATCGTTATTTCTAAGATGGTCACTGACGTTAACGGAGGGCAGGGGCTCTTTCTGACACTTCACTGAGGATCTCAGAGTTCACCAAGAGCCAGGGCAGCACATCTGGGAGAGAGATGTGGCTTCCCAGGTGGCGCTAGTGGTAAAGAATCCACCTGCCAATGCAGGAGACAGGAGAGACACAGGTTCAATCCCTGCATCTGGAAGATGCCCTGGAGAAGGAAATGGCAACCCATTCTAGTATTCTTGCCTGGGGAGTTTCAGGGACAGAGGATCCTGGCAGGCTACAGTCCATGGGGCTGTAAAGAGTCAGACACGACTGATCCCAGAGCACAGCAAGAGAGCAGCACATCTGAGTGAGAGCAGGCTAGTCAGCCCATACCCTCTAGCAGAAGATGAGAGACGAGTTCCTTGCTCTGAGAGCTTCTGTGATGTCTTTACTCCCTTAGGGATGAAGAAGAGCATGAAAAATACGGTCCCAGGCAGGACGAGGAAGCCCCTGCTTCTCGGTGCCTCCGCTGCTGTGACCCTGGTACTCCCGTGTACCAGGCCATCCCGGTGCCGCAGATCAACATCACCATCCTGAAAGGTCAGGCACAGAGACCAGCCAAGGGCACCTTCCCCTGGGGAGCAGAGAGGGCACTGCCCTGTCTTGATCGGAGGGCGGGGCAGAAGATGGAGTTAGGGAGGAAGAGGGGCAGGGGCAGATGGCTCCCTTGGGGCACCGAGCTGAGGCATGCTGTCATCTAGGGGGGAGGAGGGAATTCCGTTTCTGAGGCTCTGGCCCCCTTCCAAGAGGAGAGGTAGGGGACAGGACCACAGGAGAAGGAGCCTCAGGGCAGCTCTGGGTCTCACCCCACCTGCATTTGCACCGCGAGCCTCAGGGGCACGGTCCTGCGAGCAGCACATCACCTTGCACAGCCCAGCACAACTGAATCAGGAAGCAAAGTGGCCCGGGTCCTACATCCCCGGGGCCCTGTGTCTGCAATTCATCTGCTCGTAGGGAGCCGTGGGCCTGTGCTCCCATTGCTTTTGCATAAATGCTTTACTTTGCCGGGATTTTCTAGAAGGAAGAAAAAAATTTTTTTTGATTGCTTCTGGATGAAAACAGAATAATCCTTGAGATTGCTTGACACCGTGTGTTTTCCCGTCCTGTTTAGGTGAGAAGGGCGACCGGGGAGACCGGGGCCTGCAAGGCAAATACGGCAAAACAGGGTCCGTGGGTGCCAGGGGCCACACGGGACCATGCACCACCTCGAGCTCGGTCTTGCGAGCAGCACATCACCTTGCACAGCCCAGCACAACTGAATCAGGAAGCAAAGTGGCCTGGGTCCTACATCCCCGGGGCCCTGTGTCTGCAATTCATCTGCTCGGAGGGAGCCGTGGGCCTGGCTGCTGCTCCCATTGCTTTTGCATAAATGCTTTACTTTGCCGGGATTTTCCAGAAGGAAGAAAAAAAATTTTTTTGATTGCTTCTGGATGAAAACAGAATAATCCTTGAGATTGCTTGACACCGTGTGTTTTCCCATCCTGTTTAGGTGAGAAGGGCGACCGGGGAGACCGGGGCCTGCAAGGCAAATACGGCAAAACAGGGTCCGTGGGTGCCAGGGGCCACACGGGACCCAAAGGGCAGAAAGGGTCCATGGGGGCCCCCGGGGACCGCTGCAAGAACCACTACGCCGCCTTCTCCGTGGGCCGGAAGAAGCCCCTGCATAGCAATGACTACTACCAGACGGTAATCTTCGACACAGAGTTCGTGAACCTCTACAACCATTTCAACATGTTCACGGGGAAATTCTACTGCTACGTGCCCGGCATCTACTTCTTCAGCCTCAACGTGCACACCTGGAACCAGAAGGAGACGTACCTGCACATCATGAAGAACGCGGAGGAGGTGGTGATCCTGTACGCCCAGGTGAGCGACCGTAGCATCATGCAGAGTCAGAGCCTGATGCTGGAGCTGCGGGACCAGGACGAGGTGTGGGTGCGCCTCTTCAAGGGCGAGCGGGAGAATGCCATCTTCAGCGACGAGTTTGACACCTACATCACCTTCAGCGGCTACCTGGTCAAGCCGGCCAACGAGCCCTAGCCACCTGCCAGCCTCCGTCGCCACAGGCTCACCTCCCCTTCTCCCCGTGCCCTGCCCTGCTCCGCTGGACCTTCCCCACCCCACACCCCCCCATCTGGAACCTCCCTCATCCACTCCTGGTCAGCCCCTCCTGCATCCGCGTTTCCCAGGCCCCTCACGCCTCCCTGCTTTGGCATTCGACATGACGCCCCTCACAGGAGCGGGAAGCAACGTCGGCTCGGTGGTCCCAAGCCTTGCTGTGTCTGCACGTGCAATCACCAGGTGGGTGTGCCTGCGGGAGTCCCCCTCTGTGTACACGGCCTTGAGTGAGACCCTCCCCAGATGTGCCCCACGACAACGATGCACCAGGGTGTCCCAGAGCAAGCCACCCTTGCTCCTGTTGCTGGGAAGAACTAAGCCAGTTCTAAAGGTTGTGAAAGGAGCAAAGTAAGCCATGAAAAGAGAGGGAGGCAGTTGTTATTTTTGTCTTTCGGCCAGCCCCGCTGGCTTCCAGGAGGGCCATCTCCACTTGAGGCGGCGGAAGGCTCCTGGTAAGACAAGATCTAAAGTGGATGCCGAGGGTATCCACTAAAGAGGAAACCACTGGCTTAGTATTTTAGGTCACATACGAACCTTCTTGGAGGACGGCTGGACTGATGTCCACGTCTCGTGGACATTCCTGTGGCCTTGCCCAGGGGCTCAGCTGGTCTTTCTGAGCCACAATGGTGAGGGGGTTCGAACTGGGCAGCAAGTGTCAGCTCCTCAGAGGGACAGCCATGTCCTCGGCTTCAGCCCCTGGTTGGGGGCACAGTTTGCTCACTGGAACCCGTGGGCTCCTACAAGCCTTGCTGTGTCTGCACGTGCAATCACCAGGTGGGTGTGCCTGCGGGAGTCCCCCTCTGTGTACACGGCCTTGAGTGAGACCCTCCCCAGACGTGCCCCACGACAACGATGCACCAGGGTGTCCCAGAGCAAGCCACCCTTGCTCCCGTTGCTGGAAAGAACTAAGCTAGTTCTAAAGGTTGTGAAAGGAGCAAAGTAAGCCATGAAAAGAGAGGGAGGCAGTTGTTATTTTTGTCTTTCGGCCAGCCCCGCTGGCTTCCAAGAGGACCGTCTCCGCTTGAGGCGGCGGAAGGCTCCTGGTAAGACAAGATCTAAAGTGGATGCCGAGGGTATCCACTAAAGAGGAAACCACTGGCTTAGTATTTTAGGCCACATACGAACCTTCTTGGAGGATAGCTGGACTGATGTCCACGTCTCGTGGACATCCCTGTGGCCTTGCCCAGGGGCTCAGCTGGTCTTTCTGAGCCACAATGGTGAGGGGGTTCAAACTGGGCAGCAAGTGTCAGCTCCTCAGAGGGACAGCCACGTCCTCGGCTTCAGCCCCTGGTTGGGGGGACAGTTTGCTCACTGGAACCCGTGGGCTCCTGGTAGCAGGTGGTTCTCTGAGGAGCAAAGCTCAGTACAGCCCAGACAAGCCATGCATCCTTGTGTGGCTCTGTTCACCGGCCCCCCCCCACACACCCCACCCTGGCATCCTGGGCAGGGCTTCCATGCCTGTCACCCTGGCATGGGCTTTCTGTCCCTCTTCTCTAATGGGTCAGCTAAGGGAGGCTCAAGGGCCTTTGATTTTGTAGCAGCTGTCATGATTGCACAATACTTTCAATAAAACCTGCTCATACACCATCTCAGAGTCCTGCACCCCAGAGGGTTCAGCATTCAGCCCACCAGGACCCTCCCCTGGGACCACTTTGACCATCAGCCTAAGACCATGCAGGAGGGGGCTTTCCTGGGCCCCAGAGCAGGGGAGAGCTGGAAGGGACTGGAAGGTTCCCCCCTGCCTGTCTCCGGAGCCCCTGCACAGCTTAGCTTCTGAAAGAGGGCATATCCCCACCACCGGTGTCAGAGCCTCTGCTCTGAGCGGGGTGTGGGGGCGCTGCCTGGATCGGTGCTCTAGTTCTTGGCTGACTTTGGCCAGGCAGCCCTCCCCCACTTCCCTACATCAACCCCCAGGGCCGGGGTCTCCCTGCCTGCTTGGGCCCTAGGCCCGACAGGAGGCTTCCTGCTCACGAGCTGGTAATGCCCGATCTCGCCGGATCCCTCTGCCCTCGCCGGGCCTGGCTGTGGGGTCTGGGGCCCCCACATCCCTCCCTCTGCTGGTCAGACTTTGAAAACTGTGTTTCTGTTCCTGCTGGTGAGCAGGGTGCCCACCTGCTGCTTTGTGCTGCCTTGGTGCTCTTCCAGAAAACATTAAACTCGGAATTGTGTGTTTCAGCATCACAGCCTCGTAGTTTTTGGTCCTTGAGCCAAATCCTCCTCCTTTCTTTCTTTTTAAAACCAAAAATTAGTTATTTGGCTGCATCAGGACTTAGTTGGACACATGGGATCCTGTGTTGCAGCGTAGACTCTTTAGTTGTAGCACTGGGCCTAGTTGCTCGGCAACATGTGGGGTCCCAGTTCCCTGACCAGGGATGGAACCGACATCCCCTGAATTACAAGGCAGATTCTTAACCATTGGACCACGAAGGAAGTCCCAAAAGTCCTCCTCTTTTCTATCCTCTCTCTTTCCCCGCTGGAACCCTGCCTACTGTCCATTGGCGGCCTGGGAGCCTTTAGCTTGGGACGTGGGAACATGAGTACCCAGTGGCCATAGGCTGGGCCATGAACTGCCTCCTTTCTCACAGGAACGCATTTCACAGCTGGACGAGGCCCCACTGGACATCCGGTAGGGGAGCAGCTTTCCTTGCTTTTTTCAGCTTCCAGTGGCCCCAGCTGTTCCATGGTTTGTGGCCACCTTGCTCCAGTTCCTGCCTACCTCTGTCTTCACATGGCCTTCTTTCCTGGATCTCTTCAATCTCCCCGTCCCTTCTCTCCCAGTTGTTGGAATTAGGGCCCAGCCTAAATCCAGGACCATCTCCTTCTTCTTGAGATCCTTGCCTTGATTACATCTGCAAAGATCCTATTTCCAGCGTCTCCTGCGTTGCAGGTAGATTCTTTTCCAGCTGAGCTACCTGAGAAGCCGATCCTATTTCCAAATAAGGTCACGTTCACAGGTATTGGGGGTCAGGACGAAATTCAACCTACTACAGCTGCTTGCAGGCTGAATACGCCCACTGACAGCACCTTTTATGCCTGAGCAGTGAAGAGCAGATGTTTCTTCTTCTCTCCCCACTGCTTGCCAGTTGGGTTAATGGCCAGCGTCCTTATCAGACTGCCAGCAGGTAGTGCCGAAGCTGCCTTGGTCCCGCTGGTGCCAGTAGGCTGGCAAACAGCTGCTGTCCTTCCTCTGCCTGGTTCTGGAGCTGGCCTGTGTGGCCGTACACAGCCTCAGGCTGGGGCCAGACCAGAGCAGGCGGACACTGCAATCTTGCTCCCTGCAGGACAAAGAGCGGGCCCCACCTCCACACAGCTGAGGCCACCGGACAGAGGATGCAGCTGGGAGCAGGGGCTGAGCGCATTTCCCAAAGGTGCAAGTGGAAAGAACAAGTCAGCTTGAGGCAGGTGCCCACTGCCCGCCCTCTCTCCAGGGAGAGTCGCGTGGAGCATGTAATGCCTGTTCCACGGCCGGCCACGCCGATATGGGAGAGGAGGCAGGCTTTGCTCTGGAGCCCACCCGATCCCCTTTCACTGTCCCTCACTCTTTAAGCTCTTCCACACCCTATCTTCCAGTCCATTCCTGCTGGCATTCCCACTCTGCTTGTTCTCTCTCCAGATATATCTCCTGCTCCTGCTCTGTGCTAGCCCAGGTACCAAGTGCTGGGGCGTGGTGACAAACAAGACAAGGTACTTGCTTCTAGAGGACTCTTCTAGGACTTTGACTGCAGTGTGACATGGATGCCACCTTCTCAGAAGCGCAGCATGCGTGGCACCTAGTTACCGACCTCGCCTGACTCCCATCCCATGCAGTCTACCTTGCAGGGGCTCCTTTCCCACGTCTTGACTCTGACTACTGAGAAACTGGCTAACCTTCCCTGGAAAAGGTCTGATAAACTCAGTTGCAATGCAAATATTAGTGTTTTCCCAAAAGGACTTAGAAATAGCTGATGACTCAGCCAAAGGAAAGAACTGCTTGTGTTAGGGCTTTCAGGAGTCTTTGTAGCCAGGGATGGGGGAAGTGAGGAGGGCACACCCAATCCTGTGGGGATTTAGAGAGAGAGAGTGTGTGTGTGTGTGTGTGTGTGCATGTGCACACTCAAGGATAATTTTCAGTGGAGTTCGCTATGGGAAGACAATGGTATGATGGAAAGTTAGTTTTATTGGGCCATAGTAATAAGACTGGGATACTATGATTTTTTTCTTGCCCAAATCATGAAAAAAGCAGCAGGTTACAGAAAATAATAAAACAAGATACCTCCATATGCAAAACAGTAGAGTTATCTCTCAACTTCATACAATATACAAAGATTAACTCAAAATGGATCAGCAACCTAAATATAAGAACTAAAAGTATAAGATTCTTAGGGGAAAAAAACAAACCTAGGTGTTAATCATCATGACCTGTATTAGGCAATAATTTCCTACCTATGACACCAAAAACACAAGTAACACAAAGAAAAATAGATAAATTGGATATCACCGAAATTTAAAATTCTATGAATTAGGGACTTCCCTGATGGTCCAGTGGTTAAGACTCTGTGCTTCCACTTCAGGGGATGTGGGTTCAACCCCTGGTTAGTGAACTAGGATCTTACATGCCAGCACAGTGCTGCCAAATAAAATAATGCAAAATGAAACAAAATAAAATTTTGTGCATAAAAGGACACTGTTAAAAAAGTGAAAAAACAACACAAAATGGAAGAAAATATTTGGAAACCGTGTATCTCATAAGGAACTTATATCTAGAATATATAAAGGACTCTCGCAACCCAGTAATAAAAAGACCAGTTAAAAATGGGCAAAAGGTCTCAATAAACATTTCTCTAAAGAAGAGAAACAGAAGATAAGATGACCAATAAGCACACAAAAAGATGCTCAGCATCATTAATTACCAGGAAAATGCAAGTCAAAACCACAGTGACTTTCAACCTCACAACCAACAGGATTGTTATTCAATCACTAAGTCATGTCTGACTCTTTGTGACACCATGAACTGCAGCACGCCAGGCTTAAACCATCCTTTACTGTCTCCTGAAGTTTGCTCAGACTCATGTCCATTAAGTCAGTGATGTCATCCAACCATTTTATTCTCTGTTGCCCCCCTTCTCCTCCTGCCCTCAATCTTTCCCAGCATCAGGGTCTTTTCCAGTGAGTTGACTCTTTGCATCAGGTGGCTCTTCACATCAGCTTCAGTGTCAGTACTTCCAGTGAATATTCAGGGTTGATTTCCTTTAGGACTGACTGGTTTATCTCCTTGGTGTCCAAGGGACTCTCCAGAGTCTTCACCACAATTTGAAAAATCAATTCTTTGGTGCTCAGCCTTTTTTATGGTCCAGCTCTCACATC